CTCTCGTGAGACCTCACCTGGAGTAAACACCTCATTTCAGTTGTAGTACCATTTTCTTTCAGACTTACCTTGTTTTTAACACCTTCGAGGCACGTGCAAAGCCCACTAACTACGTTTAACATAATCCATGTGACAGTAAGTAAACTGAATAAGAAAGAATCTTTCATTTTAGGACTGTAAAGTACACTTTTCATTTAAAAAGGAAAATACTTTCTTACCCCTGCACTCTTCCCCCACCTTACCTTCTAAAGGGAGGGAAATATGCAGGAGTTTAATGTCAATACAAAAAAATCATTCACTATGCAAACATAACTACCTGCTACAGATTCAGGAGGAGAATAGAACTGCCCATCAGAGAGGACTCCTGGGTGAAGAAGAGCTGCTCGTTCGGAAGCATCCTGTGCTATCAAAAATCCTAGAAACAAACAACCAACCAACAAATCCTTAATGCCATCTTAAGCACCTTAAAGGTCAAGTATTGATGAAGAATCTTAAAAGATTGGTGTATCACATTAGTATTCCTAACAAGTTACTTCTATAAAGAAATACCTCAAGAAAAAGAAAATATTAATTTAACATAAATATCTTCTATATAACTTCAGGCAGCTAAAGAGACACTCCAGAAAAACAGAGATACTGTACACACTAATTAAGGAATACTTCCTTCTGCTATGTGCAACTGCATGATTAGGATGCTGTTTGTAAATTCATCAACATCCACTGGCTAACTAAAACTCTGAAATGTATTTTTAATGATCAGCCAGCTGCCACACATAACCAAATGAATTATTTTCTCACTTTGCCACTAGATGACTCCTCACTAATGGCTTGCTTTCACTTAGTCTGTCTCAAGATAACCTAGTTACTCTGACCTTCAGTTCCTTTTGGTTAATTTCATCTAAAAATCAAGAGAATGATTTGGAGATTACATGGGGCTATTCTGGTTTGCTTCCTACAGGACAAAAACCCAAAGGGGTCGGGAGAGAAGCTAATTCATCTCATCCTTACTGACATTAACAGGTCTTCAGATGATAACAGGGCAGAGATGGCATTTTAGGTCAACATAAGGGTATTTATTTATGAATATGATCATGAAGTATTCCCATGTGTATGTATCATATACTATAAATATTAAGTATAAAACATGCAAACATCTCTGAACTGGTTAGATTCCTTATCCATTGAGATAAAAGTGTGATGCAGCTGTATTTCCTCACCCCCTTAAAAAGAGTACCCTAAGTTTCCCTTTCTCTAGGCAAAACCCAACGTACTCACTGAACCAACTTCCTTCTTGGAGTGGTGGAAAGGAGGAGAAGGGATCAAAGTAAAAAGACAATTTCAGAGCACTAAATAAACAGAGATATCCATGCCCATGTAAAGTTTTCTGGTTCACGTAAACATACCCTTCCAAAGACACCCTTTCCAAGAGTTTGACTGCATTTCACAGTAATGTACAAATAACAGGTTTGCTGTACAATTACTGTCCTGCTGTTCAAACTAACAAAACATCTGTAGCACAAACGTATGCTTTCTTTTCCTCATCACTCAAGCAATTTTCTCTTTCAACCAAATCAGTGGGTTTCCTCCATTTAGTTGAATACACTGAGCATCAGATGACCTGCTGCCTCATCTTGAAGAGGCTGAAATTCATGCTTGTTCTAGTCTCGTTCTGTGCATGAAGCAGACTCTCCACAATACTTCTTTGCTTTCCTTTTTCCACCACAAAAGAAAAGTTAGTGACACCGAGTTAGTTATTGTGCCTCCTCTTCCTAGGAGAGGAACCAGCAACTTTCTGTATGCTTATAACATGCAAATTTAACTGACTTGGGCTTCTACACTTTTCATTTTTTGGGTAATGCATAGAGTATTATTTATGTTCCCAAGTGCTTGATGAATTACTGATCTGGCCCTTGTAATTTTTAACTTGGCCTCTCTAAATTAATTTGAGACCCACTTTGTTGAAGGGTATGTCACTATCCAGAAGAATTATGCCATATGATTTAGTTTTTCCCACAGCTCTTCAAATTTTGAGAAGCTGAAAGGAGCCTTCTTCCACCAGATTACAAGGGATCAAACGTTGCCAGCTACAGTGACTGAAGGAACTATCACAAGCTTACTGTTTTCTTCCTCAGCTTCTTGCGGTAACACTTTGAAGTCCAAAAACCAGGTTTCGATCCAGGCAAGTATGAAGGATATGATGGGCAGCACGTAGCCAAAAGCACCCTGTGAGAACAGCTTGAAGGAAACAAAACCATACAAAAGCACAGAAGTTACACCGAAGAATCTTGCTTTCAAGAAAACAAAGTAAAACAAACATTTGATTAGAATATATACCTGTGAAATAATTACTTTTGCTAATAAAAAGGCACTGGTCACTGCTGTTGTAAACTGAAAGAGACAGAGTAAAAACAGTTATGATTAATAATTTGATTTACTTTCTCATTTCTGCCATCATCTATCAGTTGCAACTTTCAATATTTACCAATAACAGCCAGATGATAGATTAATAAAACATGTAATATAGGATACAATTAAAGTGCTGTTAAAATAGCCTCCTTAATGTAGGTAACTTTCAATACAGACATCTCCAAATGTTGATTTCCAATAGCAGATATGCAGTTTAGATGCTACACAGACACTGTGTTACATAAACTGCGATCTTACTGTATAATGAAGATGCACTGTTTTATTCACCAAGTCCCTTAAAAGAATTTCTATCTATTTATTAGGTAAAAAGCAAACAGCAATTGTTCCAAATGCTTTTCACTGCCATCCAAATCAAAAGATCCACTTCAAGCAGCAAAACATCTTTGCATGAGTAAATTTGAATTAATATTGTAATTAATGTAATCACTTTGAACACTTGATAATCCCTGACATTTAAAAAATGTCAGGCTGCATAAAACCAAAAAAAAGCAACGGACAAATGCTGTTCAATTCCAAGGCTTCTAACTCTATTAGTGCATGAGCAATTCTTTAAATAACAGCAGAACCTAACTAGCTTTTGGCAAGCACAGGTTGGATTTTAAGATTAACAGCTCCTGCCAAACCTTCAATGAAGTTTTACATATCTATTGCTTACCACCATGATGGGTTCACTCTCCCCCATCTCACAGTCAACTGCATCAAGTTGGAGGATGTCATTGGAAGAAATACTCTAAAGCTACACACCTAAGAGCATGGCATTCCAAGAGGCATGCAGTTAAAAATCAACACAATCAGAGCAGCAGTTATTTTTGTATGTGCTTGTGTCACACTAGTAACACGATTTCAAAAAAATCGGGATGTGTAATCTCAGAGCACTAAAACTGCACGCTACTCGCTTGAAGAAAGTCACAAATGAACACATTCTACATGCACCTACCCCAGTGCAGTGGAAGAAAGCCTAAGATTTACAAGGTCAGCAATGTGCCTATTATATTAAAATCCATAGTATTAACTTGTGCAAGTATGAATTTGTCATCCAGGTTTGCACCCTTCCTCATCCACACAGCTGCATTAAAGATCTTTGCTCCAATCCACTGAAAAAATTATCGTTGCCTTGAGTTCTCAATTTCCTTTCTAAGAAGGGATGTATATTCAACATTTTGTATTGGAGCATGGAGCAATACAGGTGCCAGTGCTCAACAGCTGGCACCTAACTCTCTGAAAAGCTAAGAATGTGGGAGTTCATGGACAGCTGGATCTCGGGTACAATAACACCAATTTTTTTTGGAATACAGTTCCCCATTTCACATGCAAATACATTTCAAACATTAATTAACAACTCAGACTAACAAGCGGTTACGACTAGCCATCCATACGGGATTCAGAATAAGCCTTCAGTTTAAATTAACACGATACCTAGGAAGGGACCACACTCACTGTGCTATTAAATTCTTGTCTTTAGGCTTAAAATCTTCCAGAGAAGCTTTCATCTGTTACTGTACAGCGAATTTTTATATAGAGCATCAAGATGATTCTTAACATACAGGCGTTAAGAGGCATCTAAAAATCTTGTCTGTTTGATCCATTCTAGTTAAAACTCCATTATGCTTGGCTACTACTCACAGCTATTGCCCACCAATGGCGCAGTCTGCACATTGCATATGCAAGTATTAACACCTTAAATCGAAAGACTGCCAGTAGCTATAGAGAAAGGAAAAAAATATTTGTTGGTTAATTCAGAACACAGAAGAACCACAAGACTCTCAGCTCACTGAAAATACTAACTGCTTACAAAACAACCTAAAGCAGGGCAATCTAAGTTCTGTTATTTAGAAACAAGTCTGATTGCTTATTAAACAGAAATAGAATGTAATTTCCCACGTCTAAAGCAAATGGCCCCACTCATGTGCCTACACAGGCTCAAGTATGCAAGCATGTGCAATTCCACAAATAAGTTCGAAACATAAGAAAGCTACAGACAGTACTTTCATGATCATTCTACCTGACTGGGATCCAGGTAGTTGAGATCTAGACACAGTTAATCTAGAAATACGTTGAGCAACACTGCACATCTCACTGAACTCAGTGGCGTGTTACTGCGCAAGAGCATCATTAAGAACTGTAAAGACTTCACAAATGCAATCAGAAAAAGGGAAGAATTTGTTTAAACAATTTTCTACTTACTATGTTTTTAGTATTTATTGAAATGTCAGTGTGGCAATGATCAATTATTCTTTATGGAGATGCCTGCAGAAGCAAAGTTTCAAATATTCTGCAGTAAAGAAACATAAGTTATGGTATTTCTAGGCCAGAAAATGGAATCAATAGCAAACAGATGAGATTTCTGTATCAGGGACCATAACCCTCAATATCCCTGTTTGTTATTTGAGATTAGATTGTCTCCGACTTGTTTTAAAAGATATATTCAGAATCTAAAAAATGTGAAACAAACACTTAAAAATAAGGAGAAATCAAGGACAGAATGGCCAGAGGTACAATGAACCCATTTAATCTTATGCAAATATATGTTTCAGTGATGTGTAGTAGAAACAGAAGAAATCCTGTATAAGCCCACAAATAATTTTGCAGCCTAGTTCCTTCGCAGGGAACAAAAGTCCATTATTTTGCATTACATGCTTTTAACCCTTGGTTCAACCACCGGGTAAAATAATTTCCAGAGCATCAATGTTTACAGTTAACATTTCTTGCTTTCTGCAGCAAGGGATATCTTGGAGAACCTACCAGCAAATTAATGATGAGAGAGAAGAGGGGAAGTAGCAGAGTTTGCTAGCTTATGAAATTTGAAACAGCAAATGGTCCAACACAGAAGCAAGGACAGGCTTTTACACCAGTTTCAAAGACAGATTCTGGATGTAGTCATCAGTAAGAAAGGACTGATACCAAACCAATTCACCTCTGCCAAGGAAGCAAGATCTGCCTGAGTTAATGATCTTGCAAAGACATGGAGCCCTTTAGAAAAACTGTAAAGAAACAGCTTTTACTGAGACATCAGTAACTTGGTCCATGCAGTGCAAGATGCCTTACAGAGCTACAGCCTTGCTGAAAGACAAATTTCCTCACACAGTAGAGCTCTGTCTGTGTACCTAAGGTGCTTATACATACTAAAGGAGAATTTTACTTCATGTCATCTGGTTTTAGTACCATGTTAAAAAAACCCTGTTTGAGTTGAAACACAGAAATCTGAAAAAAATCTGCCCTATACAGGCTAACCTGGGAACAAGTCTTTCCTCACTACAACTGACATTTCTCTGAGAGGACAAAAGCATCAGTTTAGACAAGATGATTTTACAGCTGCAGTGCCATTGGTTTTGTCCTCTTAATGACTTGTCTTTATGTTAAATGAGTCTCTCATTCTTGACTGAGTTTTTCATCTGCTCTTCCCTAAAGCAGAAGATGCAGTTTAAGTGTGCCTAAGCATCTCTATCCCCAGGCTCCATGAGCCTACTGCCAGAGCAGGACCAGGCAACCCTTAAACGGTGAAAATTGGCACAAGTTCTTCAGGTTTAAATTAAGAAGAAAGGATCAACTCTTTCACAGGACTCAAACAAGGAAACATCTGTGGAAGGAGGAATGTGGAAAAACTATACTTTTTCCTTTTTTTTTTTTACAACACACTTACAAATATATCAAAATATGAAGAAGAGTAGTCATACTGTAGGACTTCTTTCTCTAAGGTAGTCTCAATGCCTCCTTTTACCTACAAAGACACAACATCACACAGAGCTTTAGAACAGAGGTTACTGAACCCAAAGTACGCACAGATCTGAAGGGTGAAATTAATAGCTCCCCATTGATGTACAAAAAGTTCATTAAACTAAATACAGAGGACCTACATGCTAAGAATGCCCATTTCAAGATTAGCGTACTTATTTGTTTTTCATGATTACATACAATTTCCAAAGTGAAAACATTTAGGATTATCACCTGGGCTATGCAAGCTACATGTCAGACTACGAAGAAACAAGTAAATGTAAGGTCCATTACCTAAATTCACAAAGCATTTTATGTCTCATAAGAGGACCAAAACAGCTGACCAAAAAGCCCCCAGAAACTAGCTAGTCATGTTAGCAAACAGGAAACAAAACAGTAACTGAATTCATACTCCAGATCTTTTCTTCATCAGCATACGCACCACTTGTGTTGAGAGGTGAGCAAAAAAGCCCACTGTAAAAGACACAGAAGCTGCAACTACTAGACTGTTCTCCCACAAATAGCTATCACCCAAGTTTAATTCTTTCATTTGCCTGAGAGCATTCAAAATTACATCTTCCTTAGCCACTGTGTTTCTTTCCAGTGGAAGGACTTGTCTCTTTCCTGTTCACACTGGGTAAGAAAATAATTTAGGATGTATTGGGTCAGAGAGGGAGGAGTGTATCTCTTATTTGGGATCAAAAAATCCTTAGTGCCCATGTCTTATTGTTTCCAATATTAAATTCAGTAGTTACATGCTGCACGAAAGAGTTACATAAAGCACTGGGAAACAACACCAAAGCGTGCCAAAACATACACTCACCATCTCAAAGCAATAGAGTCTGGACACTTCCAAACCTTTTCCAACTATACTGCTGAGCAGTGCTTGCCTGAGAGTCTTCACCCCATCCTCAAATTTCTTTTCCTCTCCCTCCCCTCTATGGCTACCTGACAAAAAACTTTCTAAATACAGCTTCCTCTTGGTTGCTCTGCTGCATCAGGTGTGATCATGTTTCCAGCATAAATGAGAAAGAACTTCCTCCTCCCCCTGTTGCTCAAACTGCCATGGAGCTACTGTCTGAAGTGTTTCAACATAAATCACGCCTAAGCACCCTGGGTAACTGTGACAAAAGGAAAACAGTACTTACGGGAACTCTGGCAGCAATTCTGAAGTCCCATTACTTAAGTACCAGTGACGGACAGTCCTAAGGCAGTGCTGTTTGACTTCCCAATGAACAAAACGTAATTTAAAACACACAACAAAAAACCTAACCATGCATCAGATCCCAAATATCAAATGATGGCTCCTAATCTTATGACTTCTGAGAACAAAACACTTTTTCATTCTTGCTGACATTTGGCAGCAGAGGACTCTGGTTCATAACATGTTCTCCTTAAAACAAAAGTTTTTCACAAAGAAAACTTCCGGAATCTTTCAAAGTGAAACACCATGAGCTGGTTGCATTTTCTATACAGAGAAATCATCTGAGAGCACTGTTATGAAAATCTGTACTCCGAATCCCTGGCAAGAGATAAAAACCCAGACTCTGCTCCTCTTAGTCAAAAAAACTGCTGAGAAACTGGCATTTAAAAAAAATATATATATAAAAATATATAATCGGAACACTGCGCTGCTTTTCTGAGACAAGCTAACTTTACGTCCCAAATACAACAGTCTTTCCACCTAGAGAGACAAGAGAAGCCTAGTCCCAAAATTACAGCATTCAGGCAAGCAACGTCTGCTTTCTCAAATTAAATCACAAAGTATTTTTCACTGTATCAATGACCTACTTGAAGTCAGCTGGATCAGTAACCAAGGCTATTTATTTTGTCAAGGAATGCTGCCAAAAAATGTTTACTCAAGATCTTTCTTGTCTAGAAAAGAGCCTCCTCTCATTTTTCCTGTGTGTCCTTTCTTAAATGCATGCTTTATATTATAGCTTGAAACCCAGCTCAAGAACCAGGATGCTACTTATGAAACAACAACAAATCAGCTATTCTATTGCTTTCTGAAAATTTCAGGAGGAGAACTGCTTTATTTCCAAAATACAAATGCTGGAGTTAAACTCCCAGAGCTGCCACCTTTTATGTTGTGTAAATGCACCCTGCCACATGCAATGTAGAGTATCATACTAAGTTTGCTGTGACGTATTTTCGTTGAGACAAAAGAGGGGTTTCGGCCATTGGAAGTCTTTCCAGGGACTAACACCTCAGTGAAGTACCACTGACTCCAAGTTACTCAGAAGGCAAAACTCTCGAATCCTGTCAAAATTTGCACTTCTTGTCAAATTAAAAGATGTACAGTAACATTTCTCTTTACTTGCTGCCTGAAAAGTTCACTGGATTCCCAATGGCTTCTTCAGCATGGTTTGTAGAGTACAGGAACATCAGAAGGTTTAGATAAGGTAGGAATATAAGAAGAAAATAAACCACGTATCCTAATGACTAGAAGTAGATGCAGCTGAGTAGATACTATGTTCATGAAAGCTTAAAAGAAGCTGCTTTAAATTAAATAGATAAAAATATCATATAATTTGGGATAGAAAAGAGCAACTTAACCACTCTTGAATTGAATAAATAAAGTCTAATGCTACTGAAAAGACAACTCACATTTAATTCTATTATCCAGAGCAAGGTTATGAATAAGAGATCAAATGTAACAAACAAACAGAACGTCCTTCTGACATCGGATATGCCTTTCTTCTCTCTGCCTTCATATGACTCAATCCTTGCCATCAGCTGCGCTGGGTTGATGGAGTGGACATCCCGCAAAGAAGGACAGGATTCCACACTGCTACCGTGAGCATTTTCTGCATCACCTGGCGCCCGACTCATCCTGGGTTTGCTTAGAGTGGTCTTCTTCCAGTTTCACCATCACTAGAAGGCCGATCCATACAGGAAGAATTTCTAAACAAGCAAAAGAAACCAGAACACATTAGGCAACCAAAACCCCAGAAATCCAGTAGGTAATTTCATCGTACCATGACAGCTCTCCCTTTGGTAGACTGACAACTAAGAATTTGGCAAGTAGGCTCTACGAATTGTTTCTAAAGTGTGATATATCTAGGCTCTCATCTCTCAGAGGATTTGTGAAACAACAGAATTAATGTTCAATTAGACCGGTGGGAATAAGGGAGCACTGTCTAGACTCAGAAGGCTCCATTCTCCATGTCGTTAGAGTGAGATCACTAAATGGGAATGAGTAAAAAGCATGATGCTGCGCATGTTTAAAGTTTTGATTCTGAGCTAAAGACTGTCAATAGGAAGCCTTTAGCCAAAAATGGCAGCATTAGCTACCAGCACATTCAGAGCTGACACAACCAGAAGGCCATTAAAAAACCCAAATACTGCAGTAATCATTCTATAAAGCAAATACACTATTTGCTCTATAGATAAACACTGCTACAACAACTTACATTGCTAGACAGTCGTTCTGAAAAAATTGTGTCCAAATCAGTGATTTAGGTTACAATTACCCCAAGTCTCTTCTGACTATAAGGCTTTTAAAAAAAAAAAAAATCAGGTTAAATTTCTTACAAAATTGGAGCAGCTTGATGAATGATTCACTAAATTACTCCATGAGAACCTTTTTCCAATTAAAACTTCTAGAAAGAGGTGACTAAGGTCACAAAAGTTTCAAAGGAATGCACGGAAAACTGATTTTTATGTAGAATACTCAGAAAATTAAGCTCACAAATCTCATCAGCCAAGCTTCTGTAATGTTGGAGGAATATATTTTTGAAATTCAAGCACGTCGTGGTTTAACTCTGGCAAGCAAAATACCACAAAGCTGCTCTCACAAATCCCCCCTCCCCTCCTCGAGTGGAGGGGAAGAACTGGAGGAAAAACCTCCGCCTCTCACCACCCGCTGACCAATGCACAATCGGGTGCTGAGAAGTGAGAGTCAGACCCAGAGAGACCGAGAGTCATGGCCCAAGCACGGTCACAGCAGATTCCAAGCGAACCCTGTCAGCAATAGCACGACCAGGAAAACTGAACAAACCCAACAACTCCCTCATGAATGAGCCAGCACAGGAGTTAGCAAAGCAGCTAACGCAGGAGTCAGGAGAGGGCTTGCAGGGGCCAGGAAGTAAACAAGCAAGTGAGTAAGAGAGAGTAATGGCTCCCAGACCCCCTCCTCGCCTCTGCCCCCAGCGTGACGTACTATGGAATGAAACACTCCCTTGGTCAGTTGGGGTCAGTTGCCTGAGCTGTGTTTCCGTGCCCTGCCTGTAGCCAGACAGCGAGAGCTGGGAACGCAGCTGCAGGGTCAGAAGGCGAGACAGACCTTGAATCTGGGGCAGGCATTGCCCAGCCCCAGCTGAGCCCTGATCAGTGCTGCTCTCTGCATCCAGGAACAGCTTCCTAGCAGCCACGGTAAAGGGAGTTAACTCTTTCCTGGCTGAACCCAGCAAAAAGAACAAAACTTATCTCTTCCTGTGCAGGCTGTGTTTCAGTAAAGTGCAGAACAGAAAGAGAAACCCTTCCCATTCTTATCTTTCAAGAGTGTTTCGATTCTCAAATCTGTAAGGACATAGTCAGTCAAAGCACAACAGGAAACGCAGACAGGGGATCTGCAGCATGCTGCTCGGCAACCACAACATACAAGGACACTGAGGAAAAGGAAAGGTGGTGCAGGGAGTTGCCAGTGCACACACATCGCAGTGGAGGCAGATACAGTCCAGCCAGGGATGGCCAATGTCTAGGTCAAGTCACACATACAGCCTTCAAGTTGTTCAAACTCTGCTCTTCTTGAGCACTGTCATAAGAACAGGAACAGACCCCCACCGAGACAGAAACTATCTACCCCGCTGAGTCTCTGCCTGACAACAACAAGCAGCCAGAGGCAAACCAAGCCAGTATCAATCACCATCTCCTAGAATCTGGCTGTGGGCCAAACCAAATACAAGGCCAAGCACAAGCACAGGCAGGGCACTGACACCCTGCTCCTGCCTGGCCGTCAACCCCAGGATGCTCTTGCCCACAGCTTTCCAAAGCCACCCCAAGGTATACATCTGACAGTTCACAGTCATAAACCATGGGAGCAGGAAAGCTGACAGGCCTTTTGCTGTGCCTAATCTCCTTTAAAGAAGTGTTAGCAGAGCACACATGACCAGAGAAATTAAGAAGTGGGAATCTCAGACTGAGATAATCAGTTTCATCATTAATCACAACAAAAATAAAGACAGAAATTGTACGAATGCAGACTTACTCCACATTAAGAATTCCAGTGAACCTGCGTCTCTCCAACTATCCCATGTTGATACACATTTTCAGTCAGCAAATGTTTTGCAATTACTTCTATGCCTGTGTTTCAAACATCAGCCGTGAAACCTTATTATACAAATCACATTTATCTGCTAGTTTGATAATATCCACATTAACTACAATGCCTGTCTACTCAAAACAAGGCATATTGCCATTGATGATTGCCCACGGCTCCAATCTATCCAGATCCATCTGCAAGGCCTCAAGAGAGTCAACAGCACCTCTGGTTTGGTATCATCAGCAAATTTGTCAATGGTGCATTCAACTCTACCTCCAGATTGTTAAACAAAAATACTGAACAGATGGCCCTAGGAGTGAGCCCGAGGGACACCGGTGGTGCCTGGTCACCGGCTGGATGCAGCCCCTTGCACTCCACCCCTCGGAGCCCTGCTGATCAGCCAGTTCTTCACTCAGTGCACCGCCTGCCTGCTCACTTCACAGTCGGACAACTTGTTCAGAAGGATGCTGTGAGGGACAGGAGCAAAAGTCTTACTGAGATCCAGAAAAACGACATTCACTATCTTCCCTTCACCCACTAGGCAAGTGAAATGACAGAATTTATAAGCTTACTGAAATGTCAAACACTTAAGAGGGAAATAAACTTGAGCTAAGTATCCGCACTAGTGCATTTACGATATACTCTCCTCACTCCTCCTGACTTCAAAAGAAGTACATCTTTTTTCTTCATAACTGCATACGTTCATATTCACTGAACTACCACTAAAATATTCAGCTAGGTGTTCTATACTGACCTATTAAAAGTGATAGGCAACATGTTTTTTTGTGGGTTCCCCCCACCCAGGAAAGAAGCAAAATTTGGATCTATTTAATTTAAAATAAAAGTATTTTGGTTTTGTTTGGTTGGGTTTTTTTAAAGAATTGTTACGGCCATAACTCAGGCTTCTAAACAGAGAATTAAATTCCAAACGTGATCCTAGCTTTGAAGGGAGAGACAACCCAAGTACAATATACCATCCTAGGAGTCACACAGTCACTACCTGAGTAGAAACAGAGTTCCTTTGCAGTGGGTGATTCCAATAGGTGCCCCTTTTTGAATCCTTTCACACACACATTCTTGCTCGAGTGCTCTTTTCCCCATGATTCAGCCCTAGGTTTCCTGTAGCAGAGTCTCAGATATCAAATGTTATACAAAATAACCCCAGTTTATTCAGATGATACAGAAGAAAAACGAACCAGCTTGAGCTGGGTGCCTCCCGAGTGGGAACCTGAACAAAGGAATACCCTGACAATCCATGCACCCACTGCCATACACTCTTCAATGCACCTTCCACACACCTTTTTGGTCCACTGGTGATTTCTGCGCTCTGGGGTCTTCTAACACCTCATTGGATTCTCTCTGTTTCCAGGCAGATCATTAACTTTTTATCTTGTTCAGTCGCAGCTTCTGCCATTGGTTGTAGCCTCCTCATCTTCTGGTTTGTGCTTCTTGTGAACCTGCTCCTTCTGTCCGCCTAAACTTAGCAATAACTAAAACATCAGTGTGCTGTCAACATCCTTCTCACACTAAATCCAAAACACAGCACTGCATCAGCTACTGAGAAGAAAGTTAACTCTATCCTAGCCAAAGGCATATCTAGGTGAAAGATCACAGCTTGCAGCCTAAGGCAAATTAGTAACGAACGAGCAGTATACCAAACCACTCAACATTATGCTGTAACTCCACATCCTAATGCTAAATGATCAACTGAGCATTTCATTCTATTTAAAACTTACTCATTTAAGCTAGATGTCTAGTATTTAACATTAGTAAACTAAAGATTTTACTCTTAATAATTTCAACTAATATAACTGAAAAGTAAAGGAGTTTACTAAAACCAGCAAGGTTAGGACTACACTCCTTCCCTGCCCTCCAAGTCTAATGAAGACTTTAGGAATAAATGGTGAGAGCTACCCCATGGATTTCAGCCTACATTTACAACTAACACCGTTATTTTCACTCAAACTGACAGAAGCAGATGGCACACATTGCACATGTCAGTTTGACATATACCTTACAGATACAGGATCAGAATGGTACTTCTCTTTTCCACCATTATTCTATCCCTATTCTTCCAGTCTACTGTCCTTGTTTTATATTATGTGTTCACTGTGTTAATGTATCACACATGAGGCACTAGCAGAACTTGCTACTTATTTCCTTCCAAGGAAAAAACACACAACAGAATTTAACTGAGAAGGGGTAACAGGAGTGGAAAAAAAGGCTTATTCAAAGGGCTATCAACAGATCAGCGAAGTCGAAAGCGAAAGTGTCACATGGAGGCAATTTTAGGAAAAGGCAACGCTATTTCAGTTTAAAGTATCAGAGAAACCATATTTATCAAATTAATACACACATACAGTAACACTGTCACAATTGCTGCTGAAGCCTATGTATGTCTCTTACAACACTAAATACTGCCCAAGAACTCCCACCATAAATGGCTTTTCTGTGAAGGTTAAAAAAAGTAACCCGAGAATCCTTTTTTTTTTTTCAATGAGTAAAACAGGATGACACAGCCAATACCATGGCCAATATGCTTAAGTAGTGCGAAAGCTACAAGGTTTTCAGTACTAAAGCCCTTCCTGATGAGAAAGCTCGCAGTTAAACAGGAGCAATGTTCATTCATAACAAAACAAAGAG